GAGGAGGAGGAGGAGTAAAAAGAGGAAGAGAAGGAGGAGGAGGAGGAGGAGGAGGAGGAGGAGGAGGAGGAGGAGAGGAGGAGGAGGGCGAGGAGGAGGGCGAGGAGAGGGCGAGGAGGAGGAGGATGGCGAGGAGAAGGAGCATGAGCAGAGACCAGAGCAAAGCCAAACGTATATAACCGATGCTGTACTACACCCTCACGTCCCAGGCCGCCTCCTCGCGAGTCCCTGCAGGCCTTCCTTTTCACTGCAAGGGGCGCCCAGAGCCCAGCAGGGCATGAGGGTGGAAACCCGACTTGTCTGGCTGATGCTCTGAGGGAACCTGTGCTCAGGGGAGGCTGCAGCACCGCTCAACGATGTGCTGTTTAACCGAACCTGCAGGGTGGGCCCTTTCCCAAATCCGTGCTTCGGTGCAAATCATCTGCGCGCCTCGTCTCCGTCGTCGTCGTCGCCGTCGTCGGCGTCGTCGTGGTCGTGGAGCGTGTTGCTCTGCTCGGGACTTGTTTCCCTTATGCAATGACCACCACCACCACCGCAAGGGGCGCGCCCCCTGCAAAGACAAGCGCCCCGTGTGCCTGCTACCCCATCCAGGGCCCCATGTTGGAGCGGAGCTGCCCTGCAGCCTTCTGGCGGACTGCAAAATAGTACTACACAAAGAAAAACCCAATCAACGGATGGTTTGAATGAGTGGATCGATCAAGAGATCGATGAGGAGATCGACCGAACACCCAGGAACCCGAGAACCTGGAACCTGCCGAAATCGGCCCGGAACCATTAACCAAAAACCCGGGAACCCAGAACCGGGAACCCGGGAACCCAGCCGGCTAACAAAATCGACGGGACACGTTCGCCACATCCTTCAATTTCCGCTAGGGTCCCGTCTGTGCAAGCCATGATTGGGGAATGATCGTGCACCTCAGCGAATTGAGACCTCCGTTTTGAAAAACGACCGCACCTGCTGGTCCTGACTGTACTCATCGCTCGCCAGAGTTTGCATATGTGTGCGAGTTTGGCGGGCGCTGTGGTCCTGGCGCGGTTCCGAGCCGCCGGGGACACTCCGAGTTTGGAGGCGCCCGCGAAGAGTGCCTTGTGGAACAGCAGAGCCCATCTATGTGTGAGCGGCGGGAGCAAACACCGGCGGGGTGAGGGGCGTGCGCTGCAAAGAGAGCAAGCGACATGTATAGATCCAACTCTCGCCCAAGCCAGCCACGTCCGGTGGCCCGCTTGCTGGAGTGAGCAAGAGAGAGCGAGAGAGAGAGAGAGAGAGAGAAACAAGAAAAAATGAAGGGTGAGTCGAGGGTGAGAGAGAGAGAGAGAGAGAGATTTTTGAACATAGCGAGAGAGAGAGAGAGAGGGAGAGAGAGAGCGAGAGAAAGAGATATGGAGAGAGAGAGAGAGAGAGAACGAGAGAGAGAGAGGGAGAGAGAGAGAGAGAGAGACAGAGGGCGAGACAGAGGCGGAGGAGCAGGAGAAGGAAGAGAGCATGGATGTGGAGGGGGGTGGACGATGGCGGCGTGAGGTGTGGGGAGCGGTGAGGAATGCTGGCGAGGACGCGGATGACAACGGCGATTGGTGATGACGAGGGAGGCGGTGGAATGAAAGGAATATGAGATCTGAAGAGGACGATGGAGGAGGGGGGAGGGCCATTGAGGACTGAGGGGGGAGCGAGGGGGGAAGAGGGGCAGAAGAGGCGGGGGAGGAGCGTGAAGGAATGAGGAGGAGAAATGAGAGGTGTAAACCCAAGACGCATCCACAATGGTACAATAAACCCTGCCTCCAAGACCCCTGATAACAGGTCCCTGCAAACAGTAATTTGCATTGCAGGAAGTGTCCTATTGGAAAACACCGTTGGAACATCCTCACTTCTGCAAAACACAGTCCTTGCACTTCAGCGCCGCGAATCAACATGGCCACTGCGTCCTGACAATCCTGAATCGCGCTGCCAGAACACCGTGCTCTTGAGAAGGTAGCCAATCAACTTAACTGCATCCTGCTAGATCGGGCCAGAACACCAGCAATGGGACGCGACGCAAGCTTTTAAAACCAACGTGCGCGGCACTGGGGCGAGAGCCACATTTTGAACATCACCCGCCCTCCATCCGCGAAGCGTTTGCAAACTTTGGAGACGAAATTGCGCGGCACTGCGGGCGGGAACCACATCTTGAAAAACAACAGCCTTTTTCATCCGTGAAACGCAGGCGAACCTTTAAAACGAATGCGCGCGGCACTAGAGTCGATGATCGCGTGTTGAAAACGAGCCGCCCTCCATCCGTGAAACGGTTACAACCTTTGCGTTTGAAAACCATGTGCGCTGCGCTGAGCGAGAACCACAATCTGAAAACGGCTGACCCTCGATCCGAGAAATCATGGGAGATTTCAAGAGTAAGGATCTTGAGCGGTAAGAAACACTCAATCGAAACGCCCGGTCCGCGTTACTGACACGCCTGGGGATGTGAGAGGGAAGATGCATTTACAAGGAGAAGGGATGGAGGAGGAAGGTGAGGAAAAGTGACCAGTGCAAATCCAAGACCCCCCAACGGTGTTGCAATAAACTCCCCTTCCTCTCCCTTCAAATGCCCCTACACGCATGCATCTTCACTGTGGGAAGTGCCCCGTTGGAAGACAATCGTTTGAAAACCCTGAACCGTGCGAGAACACCACTCCTGGGACCTCAACGCCGCGAATCAACGTTACTGCTGCGTCCTGACGATCCTGAATTATGCTCAAACACCTTTCCTGCAACTTCAACGCTGTGAATCAACGTAACTGTCGCGCCGTGCAAACCTCGCATCGTGCCAACACAACATTCCTGAGACTTCGACCATGAGAACCCTTGACATTGTTGTGAACTATGAAGACGATTGCGCGCGGCGCTAAGGCGAGAATGACATTCTAGAAAGGTGCTGCACTCCATCCAGGAAGCTCGTGCAAATTCGTAAGACGAGTGTGCGCGGCGCTGAGGCGACAACTACATTTTGAACTCCAGCCACCCTCCACCTGTGAGTCTCTTGCGAAACTTTATGAAACATGTGCGCAATGCTGCATCGACAACACATTTTGAAAACCGCCCGGCCTTCATCAATGAAACTCTTGCAACTCTGTTGTACGGATTTGCGCGGCGCTTGGGCGAGAACCACATGTCGATAATGCCCCGCCTTCCATCCGTGAAGCTTTTCAAATTCTCAACTTCAGGGGCATAAATGGTGAGGAAGTCTCAGCGTAACGCCCGGCCCGCTCTACCGACACGCCTCGGGGTGCGACAGGAAGGACTTGAATATCTAAAGGGTAAGAGGACAAAAATAATATGAGAAGGCGGAGGAGGAGAGGGGCGGTGGGTCGGGAGAACAAACGGAGCAGGGGCCGCGAGGTCTCTGCAGGAAGCCCCCGAGAGGCCAGCAGTGGTGAGGGACTGGGCGGGACCAGGCCCGCTTTCGACACGACAAGTCAAGGATGCACCAGCGCCGATGCTGAATTCACCCCCCCAGGAGATGCTAACCCAAGGAGGAAGCGAAATAGGAAGAGGAGGTTGGCACGAAACAAACGGGTCCTGGCGCAACGTCTCCTGGGTCCTGGACCCTGCCCCCCACCCCCCTGGAGCAACTCTTCACACCCCCAGGCCGAGTTCCCGTTTCCCGCAGGACCCCTTTTCCAGTATCCTCGGCAAGAACAGAAAAAAACACACCCCCACCCTCACCGTCTCCCTCGGGCTTCGGGGCACCCAATGCGCAACTCCAGCGGACGGCACGCCGGGAGAGCCAACCTACCTTACCTTGCCCCGGTGGGGGCGGCGATGGCTCTGACGATGCGCTGCTTACGGTCGAGAGCTTGGACTCAGCGTAATTAACGCGGCGGCGGCCCCTGCGACAGGTGACCTCTTGCAAGCGCATAGCGTGTCGCGCCTCCTCCCCCTCACCCTCCCTCCTCCTCCTCCTCCTCCTCCTCCTCCTCCTCCTCCTCCTCCTCCTCCTCCTCCTCCTCCTCCTCCTCCTCTCCTCCTCCTCCTCCTCCCTCCTCCTCCTTCTCCTCCTCCTCCTCCTCCTCCTCCTCCTCCTCCTCCTCCTCCTCCTCGGGACGTTGACGCTTGAGGACTTGGAAGCGGTTGGCGCGCGGCGCCGCGGCGCGGTGGGCCAGAGCCAGCGGCGCGACACGCCAAGCAGACGTTCCTCTGACCGTGCTCGCGGCGGGCAGGAGCGGGCAGGGGGCCTCGTCGTCCTCCCAGCCCTGCTGCGCGTCCCCGTCGTCCGCCGCCTGGTCTGCAGCGGCGCCGCGCTCGCCGCGCGCGGAGACGGGCACCCTCTGCAGGTCCCACACCAGCCGGAGGGCCTCGTGGTCCAGCGCCTGCTGGTGGAGAGGACAACAGAATGAAGACAAACTCGGAGCGGGACTCCCCTGAGATCCGAGCGATGCTATGTTTTCAAATTGGCGATTCCGCCCAGTTTCGGGTCCTGGGACCATCACAAAACGGTCCAGCTCTTAACATGCATCAAAAAGATTGGGTCTAGAACTCGCTCCGTGACGCTTCGCGATGTTGCATATGTTCCGCAATGTCGGATCTGAGGGGGGTCGGGACTCAGAACTGGCGAAGACAAAAGGAGGATGAAGACAAGCTTTGGACATAGAGGGACATACTAGTACTATGCGCCCCCTTGGATTCGCACATACGAGAAGGAAATATAACACAAACATTTCGCATTAGCTCGTTGTGTGTCCAGAAAGCGCCCGCCACCAAACACGTTTACGTCGCTGCAGAGCAGAGGAAGTCCGCACGCGCGCTCTGACGGGCCGGGAGACGGCAGGCGCTAATTGTCCGGCGACAAGAAAAAGAACAACTGGGAGGGGCGGCCGCGTGGCAGGGGAAAGGGGGGAGAGCGCTCACGCTGCGGAAGCCGCCGCTGAGCGGCCAGGGCAACCGGCCGGTGCTGAACCCCTGGCAGCGGGGCGCGGGCTGGCGTCGCGGCCACACCGGGGGGCCGGGGCAGAGGCTGCAGTGCGCGAGCAGGAAGTACAGCGTCAAGAAGTACGGAAGGCGGACCCCAGACCCCCGACGTCATGATTTGTTCATATTGTCGGCCCATGGAGGTCTCGACCCCTTCCCCTGGACCGGCTTTTCATCTTGAGTCGTTTTCTTGACGGTCCCAGGGGCCGGTAAGGGCCCCCAGAAGACGCAAATAGCAAAAAGCCTTTCGCCATGATCTGTTCATTGCCCGAGGGGGTCTGGGGAGGGGGCGGCATCAGGGAGTGGCGCCGGGCGAGCTGCAGGGAATGGGCGGCGCTGCCAGCTGTAGCCTACGCGTGGGCGGCTCGGCCCCCGCCCGAGACTTGCAGGTGAAGAAGCGGTGCTGCAGGCGGCGGGGGCGCAGTGATGAGCGCGCCCCTCGCAGGAGCCACGGCGGCGGGATCGCAGGAGGGCGGCGGTCCGGAGCCAGCCATATATTACCTTGAGCTCCGGCATCGTGAGTTGTGCAGTGCGGGGCCCCTGGAAGTCTCGACCCCTTCCCCAGGACCGTTTTTTCATCCTGAGTCGTTTTTTGACGGTCCCGGATCCCGTATCTAAAAAAGTGAGGAATCGTATCTAAAAAAAATACTTTTGAAACAGATCTGTTCGTATCTAATTTTCTGTACGAAAGCGCTGCAGAACACATATGATTTAGGGAGGAATGTTAGATACCATGCGGCCCTTCCAAATGCAGCTGCCGCTGGGGAAATGAGCAACCAACATAGATTTTTAGACGTGTCTTCCAGGGAGGCCCAGGATGAGCCCCCGGGGGCCGACAATACAGAAAAGCCTCCCGCCGTGATTTTTGTCCCGACGCGATAGGGGGTCCTGGGAGAAGTAAGGCGGCGGTGGCCCGGGGCCGGCCGTGGAGGGGGCGGCGTACGGGGCCCCACCGCGGAGCCCCGGGGGTGTCCGCCCAGCGAACCGGCGGGGAGGCCTTAAGGCGGGCCCCGCGCGCAGGCCGGAGCGGCAGCGAAGGGACGGGGGGTGGCCCGCGAGCCCATACAGTCATCGGCCTGACCTAAGGAACGACAAATAAGGAACGAAGCCCCTGTATTCCAAGGAAAAAAGCATAAGGAACGATACATAATAAAAAAACGCATAAGGAAGGATACGTAACGCATGCAAACCTTAAGGAACGACCGAGCCCCTTTTGAAAAGTTAGTGTTCCTTACTCAAGCCGCTCACTGTAGGCCCCAGCCGGCGCACGCCTCACAGCCGAGGGCGGGTGGCCCCACCCCCGCCCCTGGGGCTGGGTCGGGCAGGTCCTCCTGCAGGCGGACGTGGGACGAAACACGGGACAACTTGAAAAGTACTCCGGAATAGCCAACAGCAGGCCAAACATCGTCCTCGGATCATTTTTGACTGCACGTCGTTCATCTCTAATCGTGCTCATCTCTGATCGTGCTCGCTTCTGACTGTTCCTGGCCCCCCAGTGGCCGGGAAGCGGCCCGGGACAGAAGTGTTAGAAGCGAGAGGATCTTGGCCCCCCACAAAAATCAAAGAACCTTCGAATAATTATGAAGGGGCCCTGGGACACACAAAACAAAATACACACAATTAAGTGGATTCCCCATATTTTCCTATATTTTATAGCTTTTGTGTCTTCCCCCCCACTTCCCATATTTTCGCATATTTTCCAGGAAATCGACGATTGATTGTGTCTGTGTGATTTTCCCCTCCTGAAAGTAGACATGATCAACGTATATGTTTGAAAATCCCTCCTGCAGAGGGGCACGCCCGACCTTCACCCTGAGGGGGGGCAGGGCGGAGGCCCCCCCGCGGCCTCTGGGCGGCGGGGGGGGGGGGGCAGAACAAGAGAGGAAGCCGGGGCGCCACCCCGCGAGGGGTGGCCCACGCAGCAGCGCGTGGGCGCCCTCCTCGCTCCTCCTCCTCCTTCTCCGCGCTCCTCCTCCTCGCTCCTCGCTCCTCCTCCTCCTCCTCCTCCTCCTCCTCCTCCTCTTCGCTCCTCGCGCCTCGCTCCTCCTCCTCCTCCTCCTTCTCGCTCCTCCTCCTCCTCCTCCTCGCTCCTCGCTCCTCGCTACTCGCTCCTCGCTCCTCCTCCTCCTCCTCCTCCTCCTCCTCCTCCTCCTCCCGGGGGGGGGGGGGGGGGCGCGACTGGCGGGAGGCAGGCCGACAGGCCCCCTGCAGGTGGCGCGAGCACCACCGCCTGCGGGGCCCGCCCGCCGCTGGAGAGCGGGCAGCTCCCAGGGGAGGCGGCGGCCGCGCTGGTGCCACGCGCACGCCGCGCGGGCGGCACGCTCTTAAGGGCTCCTAGCTTCGCGCTGCGCGCTGCGCGCTGCGCGCTGCGCGAAGCGCGAGTAACTTCGCGCATTTGCGCCCCCCCCCCCCCCCCGGGACAAGACGAGCGGCTCGCGAAGCGCGAAGCGCGGAGCGCGAAGTGCCACGCGCGCGCCGCGCGGGCGGCAGACTCGATGCAGTCCGAGTAGAATACGGACCAAGGGCTCCCAACTTCGCGCTTCGCGCTGCGCGAAGCGCGAAATGCGAATAAGTTCGCGCTCTCGCGCCGCCTCCCAGGGGGGAAGACGAGGAGGAGGAGGAGGAGGAGGAGGAGGAGGAGGAGGAGGAGGAGGAGAAATCGGAGCCGAACCGCGAAGCGCGAAGCGCGAGTAACTTCGCGCCCTCGAAGCGCGAAGCGCTAGAATTAAGTCGGGCCTGTCCTCCTACAGGGGGATTCTGGACGAAACATAAAACATTGTCCAACAATGCCCCAAAATGGCCAAAAAAAATACTACAAAAATAGTCCCCAGACTGTTTTTTGGCTATTTGTGTATATACCCCCTTCTAAAGGGACAGGCCCGACTTCAAAGTACAGTGCGGACGCAGCACGGCACGCGCGCGCGGCACGGCACGACGCACACGTTCCCGCCGCAGCGCGGCAGAGGCGACCCGCACTCGCGTCGGGGCGAGACCGGGGCACGGCGTCGCGGAGGGCACGGCACGGCACAGCAGCGGCACATGCTTCGCAGCCTGTGTCACAGAGACGGGCCCCCTGGAACCACGCCACAATGTGGGATGCCGATTAAGCAAAAAAGAAGGGGGGAACGATAAAAAAAATAGTTTCCCACACCGGGGGGGAACGCTCAGAACCAGGGCTCGCCTGTGCGGTGTTTCGTCGCCAGGGGGGGCGCGCGCCCGAGGACGGCGGGGGGGGGGACGATTAAAAAAATAGTTTCCCAGCCCGGGCCGGTTTTTTCTAATCATCATCCCGGGCGCCGCCGCGTGAACACGACCCCCGGTCATTTTTTAATCGTCATCCTCCATTACCCTTTGCAACATTCGCTGCTCTTAGGGGATCGCGTCGACGGTGATGCTTTTCCTGGCCAGTCGGTTGGACGAGAACGGGCTCTAGGCAGACTCTCCGTGACGACCGCGGGACCCGTAATCGTGACCCCGGGGAGGAGCGCTCCCCAGCTTACCGGCGAGGGCCACACGCCTTGTGCACGCTTTTGAGGAAGTCCTCGGCTGAGATTACTCCGACCATCGTAGATCTCTCGGGGGGGAGCAGGTGGGCTTCTTTAGAGAAGCGAGCGACGGCACCAACATACTTCCTCCGAGGTCTGGGCGGCTTTCTTGGGTGGCTCTGGACCCTCCTCCCTGGCGACTATCCAAGAAATCCGAGCGGAACTCCGAGAAATCATGTTTGTGCAGCTTGCCGTTCGATGGAAGGCACCGCTCCTGGAGCAAAGCCCGCGGGTGCCGGAATGAAGCGTGAGTTTGCTGTGGACTGGTGCCCTGGCGATCCTTTGGGCTGCCGTGGCGGTCAGGGCGTGCTGACGCACGTCGCACTGTCTGAGGCCCCAAGCACTAAGCAGCCCTCCTGTATCTATCGACGAAGAGGGGGAGGATTACAAGTGAGGATCAAGACCTCTTCGCGTGGCACAAAAAAAACGACGGGAGGTTTTCGGCAATCTCGGCCTCCGCAGGCCCTTACCAGTCTCTGGGGCCATAAGAAAAAAACGACTCGGGATGAGAAGCCAGTCCCCAGGAAGGGTGTCCAAGCATCATAGGGAACCACATTGCGAACGAACCACTGCGGCGGACGTCTGGGGAGCTGGGGAGGACGCGGAGAAGGAACACCCAATTCAAGAATAACGCAAATCGGCACAAACCCAATTTGTCCATGGTCCGCGCAGATTTCTTGGACCTGCAGCTGAACTCACGTCGGGCGCAGCACCTGGCCCGCTTCGCATGCTGGGGAGGAGGGGCCAGCACAAATCCAAGACATCCGCACGGACCTCCCACGATTTCATCTTTGCGCAATATGTTCTCCTCCAGCCCCCGCGCCGCCCTCTTTTTGCGCGCGCGGCGACCTCTTGTGGGCCTCTTGGCGCATCCTCGGGCGGAGGGCTCGAGGGTTTCCCCTCCCCGGAGCCCTCTTCTTGGCTCGGGCAGAGGGGCCCCCCCGCGTGCCGAAAGTAGCAGAGCACCTCCCGTCGTAGGCCTTCCCGCCGCGACGAGGTCTGGGTCCCCGTCCTCGCCCCGACCCGCCTCTGCCGAGGAGGAGGAGGAGGAGGAGGAGGAGGAGGAGGAGGAGGAGTATCCCCAGTGCCTGTCCGCAGAAGCCCGCCGACACGACGCGGGCGGTGCGAGGAGGGCCGACGCGGGATGCACGCTGTCGGCGGAACGAAGCGGGGAAAGCACACACATTTGGGTCCCTCCTCCCTCCTCCCTCCTCCCTCCTCCCTCCTCCTCCCTCCTCCTCCTCCCTCCTCCTCCTCCTCCTCCTCCTCCTCCTCCTCCTCCTGCTCCTCCTCCTCCTCCTTGTCCTCCTCGGGGAAACCGAGGAGTACCGAGAACGCTACCCCCCAGGCCTCTCCCGGGGTGCGTTCTGACCAGAACTTCGAGGCGAATCCAGCGGTGGCGACGAGGGGCTCCCGGGAGTACCTTTTCCTCCTGAGTCCTGAGGATCATCGACTCCGAGACCCCCCCCCCCCATCCAGGCCTGGTCCTCGGTGCTGTAGTGCCTCGCAGGGTCTGGGCCTCGGCCGTCCACGCCGCAGGCCGCGGGGAGGGGGGAACAGGAGGCCGCGCCCCGGGCGGGGCGCTGCTGCTGCTGCTGCTGCTGCTGCTGCTGCTGGTGCTGCTGCCTGCTGCTGCTGCTGCTGCTGCTGTTGGCGGTGCTGACGACGATGGCACTCCCATCGGAGGCGGGTTTGTTTCCGGCGCTGCTCTGGAGGGGAGGAAGGGGAGCGGACACCGCAGCACGGCGGCAGGCTCGGCGGCGCCATCGTGAAGCCAGTGAGCTGTACCGCAGACGCTGCGCACGCGAGCGGGAGCGACGCGTCCAGCAACATGGAGGGCCACTCCCATCGGGGGCGGGATGACCCCGTGGGCCGCAACAGACTCAGGGGCGAGGTCCCCTGGCTTTGTACGTTCGCAGCCACGAGAACACAAGAGCCTGCCTGTCGCGTCCCCGACGATCGTGGCAGAGGAGGTCGCCTCACGGCTTCGCTCCCGCGCCCCGACGCCGCGGCCCGCATCGGAAAGGGCTGAGCTGCTCACCGCGACCACCTGCCACCACCGCGACGGCTGCCCCTATTCGCCACCGACCGCGCCGACGGCCACCACGACGATTCCAGCCCATCCCCACCCACCGCCACCGCCTGCTGACGCGGCGCCCCCCCCCCCCCCCGCCGCGCAGGCGTCCCAAGGCCTCTGGACCACGTGCGCACTTCCCGACGCCGCCGCGCCCCGGCGGGCCCGCTGCCCGCACCCCGCCGCTGCCCTCCCTCTGCGCAAGCCCGGCTGCCGCCCGCTGAGACAGCCGCCGCCGGACGCAGCGCCACCCCGCCGCGGCCGCGCCTCGCCGCCCCGCTCCGGCGCCGCCGCGCCCCAGCGGGCCCCCTGCCCGCACCCGCCGCTGCGCGCCGCCGCGGGGGAGCCGCGCCCCGCCCAGCGGCAGTCGCGCGCATCCCCGCGAGCGGGCGCGCGCCCACGGGGAGGTCCTGGCGGAGGCGGAGGCCCGCACTCTGGCCCTCGCCCTCCTCCGTCGGCCTCGCGCGCCGCCAGCGGGCGCGCGCGCGCCCACGGGGAGGCCCCGGCGGAGGAGGAGACCCACGCTGGCCGTCGCCGTCCTCCGTCGAAGCTCGCGCGCCGCCGGCGCGCGCACGCGCGCAGCATCGAGGAGGTGCTCGCGGAGGCGGCGGCCCCAGCTGGTCCCCACCCTCCTGCGGCCCCCGACCCGACTTGCAGTTTCGCCCCTCCCCCGCAGCTGCCTCCAGCCACTCCTGCGCGCCGCCTGCCGACCCCCAGAACCTAGCCGCCCCTCCGCCGCAGGGGTGCTGCCGCGACGCCCTCCGTTGAGCTGGGACCGACCGTCCCGGCATTCCTATAGTCCTACCACGAAATGTTCCGAGAACCCAAACATGTTCTTAGAACAAAAGCAGTGTTCCTAGAATATTAACCCGATGTGTTAAACCGAGACAGGGCCAACCAGACATGTTCCAAGAAAATTTCGTGGAAACCACAGAAGGTTCCTTGAACATGGTTTGGTAAGGCTATAGGCGAGCCAGGACGCTTCGCCACTGCTTGACTCCGCGCAGGGCGCAGTGTTGTTCGCCCTGCCCCCCTTGGCACGACATGGTCCCCATGACGCCGTCGCCGCGAGGCCCTCGCAGTGGCGTGGTGGTGCTGTGTGTCTCGGCGCCCCGCCGCAGGCAGCTCTGGTCTCGGGGCCCCTCCGCGGCCCAGCATCGGCGCACACGCCTCCCTGTCTCGGTCGGGAGGGCGTGCACCCTGTTGTGACGATGCAGAGCGCTCGGGCAGAGAGGGAATGTAGCAAGAGGAGCAGCAACGACGAAGGCGCTGCGACGGCCCTGGCGCTGATGCAGGAGGGCGTGCACACCAGCGCCAGGCCCACGCATGGCCCGGCCGGCCATACACGCTAGGCGTGCTCCGACCCTCCTCTCTCCGAGGGCCTCCCTGCGGCCGCCCGGGGCCCGTGTCCTCCGCGACTCCGGCAGGTCCGCGCGGAGGTCTCCGCCAGGAGCCTAGGAGGCCCCGACGAGGACGAACACGTGCGGATATCGCCATCGGTCCTCGGCCCTCTGTCGCACTCGATCCTCCGTCGACCTCTCCGCCGCGCACGCGGCGGTCTTGGCATGGAAGCAGCGGGCCCTGGAGGAAGCGGGTCCTGGACTCCAGGGCTGCACCCCAGGGACCAGCCCTTCCTCCCGAGCCGCTTCTTGGGCGGCCCCAGGGCCCCTGGAGCCGGCCCCAGGGGCCCGGGCACGCAGCGAACGACCTCCAGGACCCGCACCCCTCGGGGACCTCCCTCGCCACCGAGATCCGACGTCGCGAGCGACACAATGGCCACGAGCCCCGTCTTCCTGCGGCAGGGCCTCGACCCGCACCGACCTGGATGGGTTCCCAGCGGGGCCCATTCCAGGAGCCTGTTCTTTTCTAGACTCCGGCAAGTTTACTTGCGTGGACGGGGGGGGGCCTGAGCATGAAGTGTGAGCCGCAAACGCCTTGCACGTGCGGAAGCCACGCACGTCAAAAGGCATGTGCGCACGCCAGTACTCGTCTGAAGAAGGGCGAGGGGAAGGGTGAACGCCATGCAAGTAAACTTGTCCGAAAATTAAAAAGACGACTCTAGCCCGTTTCTTCGAGGCAAACCCGGCGGTGGCGACGAGAACCCCTCCATGGAGGCCCGAAGAGGACGAACAAAAACGCCAGGGGGCCTCCACGGCAAGCGGGCTCCCAGACATGGGGCGTCTTGGGTTGTATTTTAGGTCGGGCATGTCCTCCTACAGTAGGATTTAGGAAGAAAAGAAAAACATAGTCGAACAATCTTCTAAACTAGATACGAATATGAAAATCGCCCCAACCGCCTTCTTTGTAAGAGCTATGTTTGAGCATTCCTCCTGTAGAGGGGCATGCCCGACTTCAGTTTTTCTGTTCGAGGAGCTGTTCGATGGACCCGCGGCCTCGCGAGGGCCCCTCGCGAGGCCGAAAGACGGCCAACAGCCTCCCGCTGGTCTGCCACGAGGCGAGCCAGACCTCTGGCACCTCTGGCACCCTGGCGACGAGAGCCCCCCCCCCCCGGGAGGCCCGAAGAGGACGGAAACCGCCCCGGGGGCCTCCACGGCAGGCGGGCCCCCCGACGTGGGGCGCCCTGGGCTTTGTGCTTGCAGAGCTGCGCGAGGGTCCCGCGGCCGCGGCCCGCGGCCTCACGAGGGCCCCCCGCGAGGCCGAAAGGCGGCCAGCAGCCTCCCGCCGGCCACGCCGCGGGGCGAGGACAGCTGGCGCCGTGGAGGCGGCGAGGTTCCCGCGGGAGACCCGAAGAGGCCGAAGAGCTCCGCGGCCAGCGAGGGGGACGCGAGAGGAGAAGGCCATCTCGGGAGGCCGCGGGACTTCCCAGAAGCCCTCGCGCCTTCTGACAAGTTTTTTCGTCTTCGGGAAGAGCTTATAGAAACTTCTCGGAGGGCCGGTGGACTTCCAGGCCTTCGGAGAAGGCCCGCCCCTGCTCATTTCCCCCCCTCGCTCGCCGCCGGAAAACGCCAGGGGGCCTTCCACGGTAGGCTCGATGATCCTCAGAACGCGTGTTGGCGCCACCGTGTGCTTGTTTACCAGAATTCTTCCACACGACGAAGGCGACGCAATCAGGGCCGACACGGGCTGCGTGGCTGCTTGCTGTCTGTGGAGCTGAACGGGTAATTAACATACACACACACACACACACACACACGCACACGCACACGCACACGCACACACACACACACACACATACTGGGCCAACACACGTCCTGAGGACCATCGGCAGGAGAAACCGGCAGCGTCCGTCGTCAAGGCCTCCGCCGCAGAGGCCTCAAACGACGAGTCATGCGGGCGCCGCTGCGGGTGCCGCGGCGGCAACATTGGAGGAGGAGGAGGAGGAGGAGGAGGAGGAGGAGGAGGACGTGGAGGAGGAGGAGGAGGAGGATGAGGAGGATGAGGATGATGAGGAGATGATGAGGAGAGGAGGAGGGAGGAGGAGAAGGGAGGAGGAGGGGAGAGGAGGAGGAGAGAGGAGGAGGATGAGGAGAGGAGGAGGGGAGGAGAGGAGGATGAGGATGAGGATGATGGATGAGGATGATGCTGATGCTGATGATGATGATGATGATGATGATGATGATGATGATGATGATGATGATGATGATGATGATGATGATGAATGATGAGAGGAGGAGGAGGAGAGGAGGAGGAGGAGGAGGAGGAGGAGAGGGAGGAGGAGAAGGAGGAGGAGGAGGTGGAGAGGAGGACGAGGCCGAGGACGACGAGGACGCGGGCAGGCCAGCCGAGGTGGAGGCCTCGGGGGTGGAGGGCCTCCCACCGCGGGCGGGCTGAGGGCCGTGGCCGTCCGCGGCCGGCCCGCCCACCCGCCCGTGGCCGCTCCCGGGCACGCGCAGCGGCGGCAGCGGGCCCTCCGCCGTGCCGGCGCGGCCCGCGCGGGCGGCTGGCGACGGCGGCGCGGCGGCCGCCGCCGCGTCGGGCGCGCGGTCCTCTCGGGCGTCGGCGGCCCAAGACCAGGAGGAGGAGCAGGAGGAGGAGGAGGAGAAGAAGGAGGAGGAGGAGGAGGAGGAGAAGGAGGAGGAGGAGGAGTCGGGGGCGCGTCGGTCCGCGCAGGGCGCGTCTGGGGCCGCGCCGGTCCCAGATACGCTCGCATCGCGAACATGGAGACAATATTCTGTTTTACATTTTCGGTTTGTTTTCCAACTTGCGGCCTCTGAGGGCCCTGGCCGGGCCCTGGGACCGCAAATCCAATTATCCTGGCGAAGGGCCCAACCATATGGAATTCTGGGTGGCGCATTCTGAATACAGGTTTCGGTGGAGCCTATGGGGCCACGAAGCGTGTGAGGAGTGATGCCGAAATGGGGCGGGGCCGCCATGCGAACCCTGCCACTGGGGCCTTCTGCGGGGCTCCCTATGAGGCCACGAGAGACGTGAGGGGTGTGCCGAAATGGGGCGGGGCCCCCAAACGAACCCTGCCGCTGCGGCCT